GTGTTCTATTAATAGTCAATCTTTTTGTGTTCATTGCTGAAATCTAGACCTGCTTCGGCGAGGTGCTGCTACAAATACTATTCTAATTTACTAACACTTTGCTGTTCTGTTATCATTCTTGTTTAATCCCTTTTTTAATTTTTGTGTATTTATTCAAAAGTTGAAATAGACAATTATATTTGACATCTACTGGTTCCCCATTGCCACTTCCTTACAGGAATAGAAACAGTCTATTTAAATATTATGAGGAAAGTACATTTTCGATGTGCTGTAGGGCATAGTGGTATTTTAGCTGCTTCAAAGCAGGATAGACAGAACATATGTTGGTTATTGCTTTGGTTCAGCTCTCTGATTTTTTTTTTGTCTCAAAAGTGTAGACCTTAAATTATCCTTGAAGTTTTAGCATAGAAATGCTTAAAAACTAATTCACCTGTTCTATATTCACAGAAGTAATGACTCATTTAAAACAAATTGTATCCCATAATGTTTTGATTAACTGAAAGGAAAACAATTGTAAACGAGCTTCTTCGGGCACATTTGGTCAACTGCAGCCTTGATGTCACCACACCTCATCTTACCTCTGGAACTGAGCACTTTGATCTATGTTTAAACCAATGCTGTAATGAGGTCAGGAGCTGTTCCACACTGGCAGCACAAAAACTGGGCATCAGTGAACAGATTCATGCTGAACAAGTTCTGCTTGATAGTACGGATTGGGTATCCTTTATCTGCATGTCTGAAAATCAAAGGTCTTTTTAAAAGTGGACCTGAACATACCTGTAGACATATTTAGTTCAGGCCCTTTGGAAAAAAAGACTTTGCTTGGCTCAAACATGCCTGAATGCAAAGTTGTTTTCCAAAGGCTGAACTCCATGTGTCCACAGGTTTGTTTGGGTCCATTCAGGCCAAGTGAAGTTTGTTTTTTTTAAAAAGGGCCCGAATGGACCTATAAGTATGGGTATCCAAAAACAGAAAATATCCTTTATCCAAAAAATACTTGGTCCCGAGGGTTTCGACTGAAGAATTCCCATCATGTATTCTTGATCATACTTGATGATAGAGAGTATACTGACGGGGGGTATTTGGCTAGGTTAGATTTGTCTTGATATTATGTACAAGACATACATGAGCAATTTCCCACGTAGTTGTGTAGATACCAGGGCTGTATCTGTACCGGAACAGCTTGCCACACCAAGTCCTGGAGCACATGCTGTCAGTACTATTGCCAGAATGTTGTCAGGCCTCATAACCTTTGTTGCGTCCAGTATCTCCAGCCATTTCCCCACATCATGTGGCGTGAATTGGGTTCAATTTAGACTGGCATCTGTAATGCTGTGGATCACCAAAGGAGGCCGAGACGGATTATCCGTTCAGAGTATCAGACTGAAGATTATTGCATATGTTTGTGCATTATCTTTTGTGTTGATGTGCTGGGTTCCTCCTTTATTGAGAATGGGAATATTTTGTAGAGCCACCTCCTCCAATTGTTCTCCATCATACAGGAATGGAATTGACAGAAGTATAGAGATTCGATCTGGCCCGTTGGTTGGAGACTCACTTAGTCCCGGTCTAACATTTGCTGTTTTATAGCTTCAATTGGCTGACATCAGTTTTAAGTATGCCTCGTTCTGTTGGTGTCATGGCCTCCTAAAGCCTTCATTAAACCAGGGTTTATTCTTTTGGCTTGATAATAATGGCAGATTGAGGGATATGCTGGGCTATAAGGTTGCAAATTGTGTTTGAATGCAATTCTGCTGCTGATAATGATCCAGAACACTTCATGGGTGCCCCATTTTGAGTTACTTAATCTGTTCAGAGTTTGTCCCATTCAGCACAGTGATAGTGGCACACATGAGAGAGATTATCTTCAATATGAAAATGAGACTTTGTCTTCACAAGAACTGTGAAATGGTTACTCCTCCTGATACCATCATTTTCCCATTTGCTCAATTTGTCTACATCGCCCTATAGTCCATTTACATCCTCCTCCCCATTCACAATCTTGACTAGTTTTGTGTCATCAGCAAATTTGGAAATATTACATGTGAATTGTAATCCAAATCTTTGATATGTGCTGTGAATAGCTGGGGTCCAGTCACTGATCCCTGCTGTACCCGACGTCAGCATCACCTTTCAGTCCAAAAACAACCCATTCATTCCCGCTGTTTCCTACCTGATCAGCAATTTTCAATCCATGCCAATGTGTTGCCATCAATCCCATGTGCTTTGATTTTGTACACTAAACTCTTATATCAGACTTTATAGAAGGCTTTCTGAAAATCCAAATACACCACATTCACTGATACAGAGCCACCTTTACTTGCATCCTTTAATTAATTTTGTAGCCTCTAGCCTTATCTATTAATTTATTGTTAGATTTGTACAATATATCTCTTTTTCACTGTTTATGGATTCCCCATTTTAATGCTTTTCTGTTTTGCTTTGTCTGTACTCTTTTGATTTCCCATAATTTCCCACATTTGATCCCTTGACCCCATAGTTAGTTTAAAACCCTAGCTACTTCCTTGGTTATGCAGTTTACTAGAACTCCCATCCCAGTATGGTTCAGGTGCAGACCAGCCCAATAGTACTGTCCCCACTTTCCCTTTTACTGCTACACGGCCACACGAACTACAATCCACTGCTGCTGCACCAGTCTTTGAGCCACTTATTGATTTCTGTAATCTTATTTGCCCAATGCAAACTTGCATGGATCCAAAGATTATGACCATGATGTTCTGCTTAATTTTGATGCCTAATTCTTTATACTGACTGTGCACAATTTCCTTTCTTGTCCTCCCATGGATCCCTACGTGGATCACAATGACTAGATTTTCCCCCTCCCATTGTAAATTACTCTTCAATCCTAAGCAAATGTCCCGCAACATGGCACCAGACAAGCAACACAGCCTCTGAACTCTTACTGTTTGCTGTAGAGCGCAGTATTTGTCCCCCTCACTGTACTGTCTCCTCCTACATTCCTTTTTGCTTCACCCACTTGGATGGCTTCTTGTACCACAATGCCATGATCAGTTAGCTCACCCTACCTTGCAGCCCTCACTGTTATGCAGACAAGCTGGAGGAACATCCGTTCTGTTGGACAATTGCAAGGACTGAGGCTCTTGCATTTCTTCCCTCTGGGTTCCGTTGTCTGTCCCACTCACAGTCACATCCTCTTTTTCTCACCTATGACCAAATCAGAAGACCCTATCCTAAGACGTATAATTACATCCTGGAATAAAATGTCCAGGTAACTTTCTAACTCCCTGTTGTTAGTTTCTTTAGTTTGGTCATCAGCTCATAAAACGTGAACCAAACATACTTGAACTGCAGATGCGGTTGCCTTGGATTACTCTGGCATCTAGGAGCTCCTGTTTTCTGCTATCACAGGACATCTCTTGCCCAGCCATCTTTATTGTGTTTCAATTAAGTGTATTATTTAGTAATTAATTGTGATAGTAAAAATATTTTCCTCGCATTACTCCTGTACTTCTTTCCCCAAAACTTTGTTTTGGATCTTGTACAATCAGCTAATGTGTATAATTTCCTATTTTCCTTGCCTTCCATTATCCAGAACCATAATAACCCTGTAAACTTCTATCCGATCTGTTGCGCAAAATGAACAAAAGAAAACCAAAGAACTGCGGATGCTGGAAATCAAAAACAAAAACATTAAATAACTGGAAAAACTCAGCAGGTCTGGCAACACGTGGAGAGAAAAAGAGTTAATATTTCAGGTTCAGTGAGCCTTCTTCAGAACAGTTCTGTTTTTGTTTCTGCAAAGTAACCTTGTAGCTAAAATCGTCCATCACTGGAACCATTTTGGTAAACTTTATTTGCATCATCTTGAGAGTCTTGACATCCTGGATGCAGTATTCGAGTTGTGGCCTAATTAGAGCTTATAAAGGGTTCAGTGTATCTTAACTGCTTTTGTATTCAATGCCACTTAATGAAGTGCAAGATCCCATATGCTTTGTTAATCACTGTCTCAATACGACCTGGCACCTTCAGAAATCTATGCAGATGTGCCTGTAGGCTCCTTTATGCTTGTACATTTACCTCTCCCTATTGCCTCTTGTCAAAATGCATCACCTGTCACTTCTCTGTATTAAATTTCACGTGCTGCTTATCTACTCATATATGTATGTCCTCCTACATATAATTTTATAGTTGAGATTATGTTTAGAAGTTCAGCTGCCAGGAGTTTGAGTTACTGTGAGGATGGAATGCAAGCAGGAGGGAACAGAAAAATATGTAGTTCAAAGGGAATCATAGTCTTTCTCCTTATAATCTGTTTTTTAAACATGAAATTAAACTGCAAATCAATGGTTAAACCTGTCTTCAAAAATGCACCTGAAAGGAAATAAGGTGGTGTTCAGAGGCCCTGAAATTTTGCTGAAACAACGAAGATGCTTTCAGATTGGGGCCAAAGCCAACAAGTCAGATTCTGTAAGTATGGAAACAGAAAATTATAATGTGGAAAAAGTTTGGCAAATTTGTGATAACAGGAAGTTAGTAGGCAGATGGAAAGAAAGTGCAACACATATTTAACACAGATTTTCTTAGTGTTCTTCCAGAAGCTATGACTACTGACATCAGGTCTTCCGGTGTCTTTCACATGAGGCTTCTTTAATTCATGTGTTTGTACTAAATCGATCTTTGCACAGGGAACCAATTTGATAAGTGGCAGCAGTTAAGCATTATGTAGTTTATGCCTACATATGCAATGAAAAATAGTACATGTTTTATATTATTTTATACATGTGTACAATTTTCTTTTTTATAAATTGACACATTACTGTGAATAAAAATTACTCATTCAAGACACTGCCTTGCTGCTGTTTTTATACTTTTGTTCATTATGAATTTTATTTTATATTTATGTTTGAGGTTTCTGTATATTTATTTAGAACCAGCAGCAAGCCTGTATCTGAATGTACATTTGTCCATCGTAAATAATATAAAGTTCACAGTAATGTGTTACTGCTTGGGCCTCGCAGGAGTGTATCTCGCAGTCAGCAGTGAAAACAAAATTTGAACAACACACTATCAGAGCTAAACAGATCATAGACACTGTGAAAAAAATCATGGAATCCATCAATGTGGTTGCAGCAGAAAAAAGGTAAGAAAAATCTTCAGTTACTTGATTTACATACAAGGCAGCAGTTGGCAAAGTTGCACTTTTAACAGAGTGTCAGCTTTGTTGTTGCTTATGCTTCAAAGTAGATATGTTGAAATGATAGTTAAAGTGTGATTTGATTCTGTTTTTAAAAAAAAATACTTACATGTTATGAAACTTGAATTATGTAGAGGATTGTGTTGGAACAATGATAAGTTCATATTTTTTCTCCAGGCACAATGAAGACAATTTTCCTAACCCTACACTAACCTCACAGCATCTCTGAACTGTTTCAGCACAGAAGGTGGCTATTCAGCTCATCATGTTTGCAAAATGAGTAACTCACTTAGCATTTTTCCCCACCTTTTGTCCTTGACTCTGCGCATTCTTCCATTTCAGATAATAATCCAGTTCTCTCTTGAACACCTTGATTGAAACTGTCACCACCACCACTGTGACCGTGAAATCCAGACATTAACCACTCACTGCATGAAAATGTTTCTCTTCCTGTCTCCATTGTTGCTTTTGTAATTAACTTAAATCTGTGCTGTCTCATTCTTGATCCTTCCGCCAGTAGGAACAGTTTTTCTCTTCCTACTTTATATAGCCCCCAATTTTGAATACTTCCTATAAATCTCTGATGTTTTCTCTAAGTAAAACAGCCACATCTTCTCCAGTATATCCATGTAACATGAGTTCCAAATCCCTGGAACCATTTTTAAAATCTTTTCTAAACACGCTAAAATCTTCATTATCTTTCCTTGTGTAGTGCCTATATCTTCGCATATGCTCCAGTTGAGGTTGTATTAGTATTTTGAAGAGTCTAACGTAACTTTCAAAATCTTATGATTCAATTCATAAAGTCTAGAATCCTGTATGTTTTATTAACTGTGCTCTCAACTTGTTCTGTCACCTTCAATGATTTGTACAATATAAACATCTAGGTCTCTCTAAACTTTGACCCACTCCTGCCCTTATATTGTACCCTTTATTGTTTCTGTATGTTCTTTTTACCAAAATGAATCACTTCAGATTTCTCCGCATTCAAATTTATCTGACAGAGGTCTGCACATTCCACCAACTTGTCTTTGTTCTTTTTGAAATTCTACACCTTCATCCCTCCAGTTCATAACGGTCATAATGCAAAACTTATCTGCAAATTTTGAAAATTTTTCCTGTGCAGCAAGCTCTAACGAAGTAACATGTTAAGAATAGCAAGGGTTCTAACAATGATGTTGGAGAATGTGATTACAACCCTTCATCCAGTTTGAAAAACATCCATTAACTGTTGTTTCTATTTCCAATCTCTCAGCCAATTCTGATTCATGTTGCTACTGTCCCTTTTATTCCACGAGCTATAACTTTGTTTGTTGGTCATGTGTGGCACTTTGTCAAATGCCTTTTAGAAATCCAGGTCCATCGCATCAACAACATTACCTTCATTAAGACTCTGTGTTCCTCTTGAAAAATCCAAATAAATCTCACTTTCCTTAACCTGATTTTTGCCTAAATGAATACTAATTTTGTCCCAAATTCTTGTTTCTGGAAGCAGCACCACCACTGAAGTTAAACTGACGGACCCGTAGTTGTTGGGCTCATCTTTACACTCTCCTTTGAACAAGGGTATAACATTTCCAATTCTCCAGGCCTCTGACACCACTCCTAAATTGAAGGAAGATGGCCAGTGCCTCCGCAACTTCCACACTAACTTCCCTCAGCCTCCACGTCCCACCTGGTCCTGATTCCTTATCACATTTAAGTTAATACAGCCTATCACTGTCCTATCAATTTTAAACCCTTGAGTCTGAATTAGCTCCTCTTTCACCATGACCCAGGCAGCACATCTTTCTTGGTAAAGATAGATCTAAAAGATGCATTTAATACCTCAGGCATGCCTGTTATATCCAAGCACAAAATCTTTTGTTGTCCATAATCAGCTTTGTATTATCTGTACTATTTATATCCAGGGAGCTAAGGCTTTGTTTGCCCTATCTTTCACCTTCATAGGAATATATCTTGACTGTACCTGAACTATCCTTTCTTTAAAGGTAGTCCATTGTACAGTTACTGTTTTTTGCCAACATTTGATTCCAGTTTATATGACCCAGACCCTTCCTTACCCATTGAAGATGGCTTTCTCAGTTAATTATTCTTATTCTGGACTGTTCTTTGTCCTTCTCCATAATCAACTTAAACCTTATAACACAATGAACACTGTCCCCTAAGTGTTCTGCCTCTGATACTTGACCTACTTGGCTCTCATTCCCAAGTACCTGATCTAGCAATGCCTTCCTTCTCATTGCACTGGAAATATACTGATGTCAAAAATTTTCCTAAACACACTTTTGGAACTTTTGTCCCTCTCTGTCCTTTACCTTGCTATCTCAGTCTATATTCAGACAATTAAAGTTCTCCCTTTATAATTACTCTATAACATGTGCATATCTCTGTAATTTCTTTAATTTCCACTGGTTGGCAGCCCATAGATTTTGCTGAGCAATGTGAATTCTACTCCTTAGCTCTAGTTAAACAAATTCTGTCATTCATCCCTCCAGGACATCCTCTGTCTCCAACACTGCATTGGTTTCCTTAACAATACTGCTACCCCTTGTATTCTTGCTTTCCTATCTTTCCTGAACATCTTGCATCCAGGAACATTTAATACCCAATTCTGGATTCCTTTAAGCCAGGTTTCGATTATAGCTGCAACATTCTACTTCCACATGGCAATCACATCTGACTCACTGATCTTATAACCATTTTTCTCTTACTTTGCTACTGAAATGTCATCCATCTCTATGTTCTGGGATCGTTAGCATTACTCTGATATTTTCTCCTGGTTCCTAACCTATGGCAAGTTAGTTTAAAGCCTCCTAACAGGATTAGCAAATTGCCCTGGGAAGAATTCACTCTCTGCTCTATTTAGATGCTCTGAAACCCTGAATTCAAGCTGCTGCAAGCGATGGCGTTTCCTGCACAAATGGTTATCTATTTATAACACCAATTAAGAGTAACCGTATAGCTGAGAATTTGAATTAAGTGCTGGCAAAACGAGATAAAGATAGCAGGTTGTCTTCTCTAAAGGGCATAGTAAACCAGATGAGTTTTTATGACTATCTACAGTAGTTCCATAGTCACTGTTCCTGAGACTAGCTTTCAGTTCCAGATTTTATTAATTGAATTCAAATTCTCAAATTGTCACAGCATTAGTTTCACCCTTTGGATTGCTGGTGACATTATCGCTGTAGCACCATTTCCTCGTGAATTACTGGGTACCACTGGTTTCCAGTAACTATGACTGACTGTTTCCTGAGCTCAGTCATGCTCCTTGGGACAAAAATATGCATAGCATTATCTGCGAAAATTTGCAAAGCTGTTGCAGGACTAAGTTTTGCAGCTGCTATTTGGCCAGCACCCTTTAAATCCTTCTGGCTGCTGTCTAAGAATAATAGCTTACAGTTCAGCTAATCTTAGTTTATTATCCTGAAAAATAATTTTTAAAAAAAACAGTTTGGAGATAAGATTTTGACCTTGTTGGGTCTTCCAATCAACAATCTACTTCTTGCAGATTTTAGCATTTGTATCTCTTCCAGGAAAATGATGGACAGATGTATTCTAGCATCAGGCTTGTCTGTTGTCCTTAATTTACATTTTCCTCCTTGTTTAAGATGGATACCTGTGTACATTCTTTGGGAGAGTTACCCAGAGATACCTGTGACATTCAGGGTTTGGAGACCTAGCATAAAGAGTCTTTTTTTTTCTAATTTGAGACTGAGAAATCATCATTCTCCTCTAGGTACAACATCGTGGAAGATTTGCCTTTGCAGCAACAGAAAGCAGTCAGGATTACTGTATATGCTAGCTTCACTTTTTTTATCATTTATAATGTTTAGTTTATTTGCCATTTAATGTATTTATGCCTTTGGAACAGTCAAGATTGGACTTACCGGTGATCTCCCGACTGACTCCCATCTTCCACCTTATACTATCTTGTGGTTGCCCAAACTCTGTATCTTCATTCACACCAAGTCCCATTTTAGTCATTGTTCCCCTCTAGTTCACTGACGGATATTGACTAGTGATTCACCAACCCTCAATTTCAATCATTTTCAACATTGTTGGTAAATCCCTCCATGGCCTCGCCCATGTTTCTGCAACTTCCACCAGCCGTACAAGCCCTGATGTCACTGCACCCCGATAGTTTCATCATTGTGTTCATCCACCTTTGGTGGATGCATGAAGCTGCCTTGGCGGTGAGGTTTGGAATTTTCTTGTAAAAGTTCTGTCCTCGCTTCCTTTAAGGATAGCATTTAAAAAGTATTTCTTTGACCAAGCTTTCGGTCACCTTTGCTGATACCTCGTTCTGTGTCTGTTAAACTCTGCTTAATGCTCTACTAAATGCCTTGGGGTCTTTTACTATATTAGAGATGCTTTATCAAAGAAAGTTTTTGTTGTAGTTTAGATTAAATAGTCAACACAGCCATGTTTTATACTCAATTCCACAATATAGAGAAGCTTCTTTGAGGAGGCCGTCTTCAGTTGTTGATGTTATGTGTGTGATGAAAGGAGAGTACTGCACCATTTTAGATGTTCAATGTGAGATTGTATGTACAATTGAGTAGGGAAGGATCAGAATGTAAAACTAAAGGGACCGTTCCCCTATTCGCTATTGACCATAATAGCAGATTATACTGCTTTACCTAAAGAATGAAGAAAGCCATTTTTAATTTAGCATTCTCCAACGTGAGCAATTTTCAGCAATGTGTGAAAGATACATAAGTTAAGTCTATATGCATTCAATATATAAATACTGGAGTAAAACTTTCCCTTTTTGCTTTTGAGAGTCCTTTCCTTGGAGGAACGGGAGGACCACCTCGATCGATTAGAGTTTGTGCGCAGTCAGCTAACCTTGCTAACAGAGGACTGTAGGAAAAGCATAAAACTCGTAACCGAAGAAGTAGAAGCCAAGGTGAGTGTTGAACCCTCTCCAAGTACAAATTGCTTGCCTTTAATATTAAACTTTTGGTTTATTGTTGGCCATTACTAAGGGAAACAAAATGTAAAATTTAGATAAGTAATTGGATTGAAGCATTAATTCTCTGTGGATGCTATCATGCCTGCTGGGTATTTCCAGCTTTTTCGTTTTGTGTAACATCTTTTATTTTTCATTTCTATCACTGGATAAGTCAACGAATGTTATTTAGGAGAATTTTATCCTGTGTAGAATAACCTTACCTCCTATTTCACATGATCTACTGTTTTTCAGTCGTTGTAAGTGGTCTTCAACTGATAAAATATTAATGCATTGCCTGATTCATGCTTATGAGCTTTATAATTATTTCACATTCTTTGTCACCGACTTCAGAAAGAAATGTGAACTCCTTTGGGGTAGCTGTATTAGTTGGATTCCTATTATTTTGGAGTAAGACTGTGGCATGATACGACTGTTACCGAACTTGTAATCCAGAATCCTGTGGACAAGGGTTCAAATCCTGCCATGGCAACTGGTGAAATTTAAATTCATTTACTTAATAAATGACCCTGAAACTACAATTGATTATTGTAAAATCCCATCTGGTTCATCAGTGACCATGAGGGAAGGAAATTTATCATCCTTGTATAATGTGATCTACATGTGATTCCAAGCACACAGCAATCACTTTTAAAAACTGCCTTATGAAATTACTGAGCAAGTGACTTAATCCAAGAGCAATTAGGCATGGACATCAAATGTTAGCCTTGCCAACAATGCCTGTATTTTATGGAAGAATAAATAAATCAAAAATTTCTCATAAACTCTGGGGGCTGTGTAATTCATTGTCCTCCTGAAGGACGTGGAAAGAAAATAAATTGTTGAGTTTCCAAACTTTGTAATGTTTGACTTATGGATTCCAAAATTTATACAGAATGTACAACAGGTCTAACCAATCAACAAGTAAACTTGTTACAAAGTAGTTAAAACAATTTTATGATTCAAGTCTTTGTACTAAAAGCAAATGTTGCATAGATAAAACAGAGCCTTTGTTATGAAATACATAAACAAGCGAAGGGTTAATTCCAGATTCCTTGTGTGAATGCTATGCAGAACTTCACATTGCTGCCTCTCTCTTGACCGTTGCCCCCTCTGTCTTCCGTATCTCCGTGCAGCCTCAATCTCTCTCTCTCTCTGTCTCTCTTCCCCCCCACTTTCTTTCTCACTCTCCTGCCTTCTCTCCCCATCTTCCACCTCTGTCTTCCATGTCTCTCTCATTTTTATGCCCCCCGCCCAACTCCTTGCAATCTCAATCTCCTGAGGTTTGCTGCTGATGGGTTTACTGGAGAGGAACAGCCTGTAAATGGAGGAACAGCTCTTCTGAGATTCTGCCATTTCCAAGTCTGTGGGCAGCTTTTCTCTTTGTTGTCACACACGTGGTTGAAATTTTCAGGGTGTTTATGGGGACTTTCACTCATGAATCCACCCACTACTTTTCTATATTTTGAGTGAGGTTTTGGAGTCTGTGAGGGAGAAACTAGTTCATTCTTGACAGATTAAAAATTCTTTAACATTAAAAGTCTTCTCACAACAAATAATTACCATCATTCTGCTGCTGGAATTGATGGTTACAGCATTGATTATCCTTCATAGAAAGTTTCTCCAGGTTTTTAAATATTTTGGTCTGAATATTCATAACTTCAGGCAAAAGCAACAGTAATAATTGTCATAACTGTGCAAGCATAGATCAATGGAAGATGAAGTTATCCTCTAAAGAGAGAGTTGGGCAGCTATAATGACACTTTATTCTTAGTTCTGATGATAGACTTCTTGCTCGGATCAGAAAGTTTAGAAATCAGTATGGGCTCTCTGATGACCTACGTGTGCAAATAAGGGTCAGCACTAATGACTCAAAGACTTTGTATCTGTTGGATTCAGATGGATCGTGTATCTATCAGTTACAGTAGTTCAGGTGAACATTAAATTTCACAGACAATATGACCAGTTTCCCTGCCAAAATTTTTCCCTTGAGCTGCAGTTCCAAAAATAGTCAACCAGCTTATCGTTATTTCTGGGATTTTACAGATAGCCAGGTTTGCTCATTCATTGCAAATAGGGTGCTGAGACACATTGGTTAGGTACTTTATCAAAGCAGGTCTTTCTTTTTTTTTTAGCCATTTTGACTTTCAGCATGATGAATTTACTCACTCTTTGATTTGCTTTCTTTCATAAATTACCAGAGAGGATGTTCTGGTCCCCAAAAGCATCAATTCAGTAGTATTATTCTGAGAGGAACAGTCTGTACACAAAATATATCTTTGCCATTGTTAGGGCCACATTACTTCAACTCCTGATTTAATTTATTTAATTTAGATTTATCTATTGCCACCCATAGATACATTACAATAATTTGGATAAATTATTTGTGAAGCATTCTATAATTGAAAGATGTTGTGTCTGTGATTTTGTTGCAAATATTTAACTTTTTTCATCATGTACTGGTATTTCAGGTTTCCACTGCAATGACTGATGAAATCTGCCGCCTTTCTATATTGGTTGATGAATTTCGTGGAGACTTCCATCCTTCTCCTGCAGTTTTAAAGTTTTATAAAAATGTGAGGAAAAAATCCTTCTTTTAGCATATTAATAGTTGAAAAAACTATAGCTTATTGATATCTCTAACATTTTATATATTGTGTTTCTATACAGGATCTGCACAAGCACATTGAAGAAGGACTAGGGAGGAACTTGGCTGAACGCTGTTCCAGTGCAGTCCATGCTGCATTGCAGACAGCACAGCTTCAAATGATAGGTCAGTATGTCAAGATACAAGATTGAGTTAATTTTTTTAAATTCTAGAGTAGGAACCTTCTCAAATCCAATATCATTTTTCAAACTAAGACCTAACCTGCTGTTCAGCAACTACTTCTTCTAATAAGGTACCTGATCAATGTTTTGGGAAAGCAGGAATTGAATCCCAAGAAAAATGTAAGAATTAACAAAAAAAAAACTGCGTTGCATAATATAATTATGAAGAGTACGGACTTGTATTTCAGAGTATAGAGGTGCAATCCTAGGCATGTCACCAAGCTCCATGTGGCTGTTCTACACTCTGGAGTTAGGAAATCCAGATTTAATAAAATTCAAACTGGATACATTAAAAGCTTTTCCGACGTCTGCCTACAAAGTTAAGATCTGCTAAACAATTCAAATTTTGGAATGGTCTTTTGCTATTAGAAAACATGACTTAAGTGATAGACAACAGCCAGAATTTTGCAGTACACAGCAAATAAGTGGTACTCGTTGTTTATTACTCCTGCGTTTCCCCATGGAATTTCTCTGATGTTTACTTTGCAGTTTATGATCATCAATCACAACAGTGCAGCACCCTCTACAGGGGACCTGGCACTTTGTGAACAGGGAAAGCAGTGATGTGCCTCCTGAGGCAATCATCTTGAACAATCCTTTTGGAGGCACACCAAATCAAAACCAAGAAATGTATATAATAATGTTTAATTCCATCTCAGAATTATGTACGGAAAACAAATTAGAGAGAAAAAGAAATATGGTTTTGAGAGATAACAGACAGTAAAAGAAACAAAGTAAGAATTTTTTGACTTCATTCACACACCAACAATAATTAAAATCTCAAAAAATAAAAAAAAACTCTGCACTTGTAAAAGTAATTTATAACATTAGAGAAGCTATGTGGCAGAAAATAATTTTTCACATTGTCAGAAATGCACTTTTATGCTTGAGTAGATGAGCCCTAACTTTTGATTGCATATTTAGTGGACATCTGGTACGTATCACAACTTCATGCCCTTCACATGTTTGAATGACAAATTTCTTGGAGATCTTGTGTAACAACGTTTGAGGAGGAGCAGGACAATTCAGACAGTAATATCCTGAGTTCCATATTTAAGTACCCATATAACTACCACTGGAGGATACTATTAAGTTTTCCTCAGTAATTTTTCCTTAATGATACTGTCGTCATTATTCCTGCTGCAAAATCTGAGCCATCCAGTATTTGATCCTTTGTAATAGCAAATGGATGTAGGAAAAATAAACTTGCCATTTATAAAACGTTCTTATATTAGATTTAAGTACATGTACTGTATTTTGGGTTATCAATTGCATTGATGTTTTTCGTCACCTAAAGTGAAAAATATCTTCATGTAAATAAGTTCATATGCCTGGTGGTTTGATTTTGACAAACTTGAATTCAAGATTTCTAATAATTGCAGTTGTTTTGTGAAGAAAAACCAGGCAAAAAAACTACTTAAAGAAAGAATTTGCATTTATTCATTGCACATTTCCACTTTTTTCCCCAGGATGTACCAAAGTGGTCAATGTTTATATCTTGAAACTAAATCAATGTTCTTTTAAATCAACATGACAACCAGTTTATACAGTGAGGTCCCAAAGATGTTGTCCTTGCACCACTGCATCAGACTCCATTTAGTCCCCTCCCAATCATTTATTTTTATCTGATGAATCCTTTCTCTGATGATCCTCCTCCTGATTACAGTCTGGTCTCCTAAAGTAGCAACAACATCGCTTAGCTTAATTTTATTTCTAACCAAAAAGTGCCTTTTCAGACTGCCTTGAAGGGCCTGCATTAGTCCACTGTAACCCTTTTTTTAATATTTTCTAATCCGCCTGTTCGGAGATATTGTTGTGCATCTCTGGAACAGTTGGGATTTGAACCCAGGGCTCCTGACACACACTAGCCCTGTAATCCTTTGTTCTCTTTCCCAGTCAACATATATAACATGCTCCCTACCTTGTTCGCTTGTTATTATCCTAATGGTTTAATAGTTCTTCACATTGGATTGCATCAGCCATTTGTTGGATGTTTACCTAAAGATTCAATCCCACCTGAATCTGACTTGATTTGCTTCTGTGTTTGCTCTCTGTCCTATTTTGGTATCATTTATAACTGTCACATAGAAATATGTAGAATGTAGAACCGGAAAAATCTTTGATTTATATTATGGCTCTGAGAATGGGGGATGCTGCCAGAGTAGTTTTGGCAAATTACTGCAGTGATCCTGTAGACATTATCCACTCTAACCATGGTATGCTGTTGAATATTTAGGCCAATACATGATGGGCCAGTCAAGAAGACTGCTTTGTCCTGAGTGGTGTTGAGCTTCTTGAGTGATGTTGGAACGTCCATCCAAGCAAGTCAAGAGTATTCCATAACACATTTGATTTGCACATGTGAAAGTATATTGAATTTTTACTCTATTGTAAAATTGTATTTAATGGTGCCTTAAATTTGGTTCTTCCTATGGAAGGAGAAAAAGATAAATCTAAAAATATGAAGAGTGTTAAATAGAATGTGGTAAGGAATTCAAAATAAAACCTGGATAGTAGGACAAGAGAAAGCATACCTAAATTGCAATAGAGTCAGGGAACACATTCATTCTAAGGAAGGATCACTGAACCCGAAACATTAAGACCATAAGACATAGGAGCAGAAATTAGGCCATTTGGCCCATCGGGTCTGGTCTGCCATTCAATCATGGCTGGTAAGTTCCTCAACCCCATTCTCCTGCTTTCTCCCCATAACCCTTGATAATCAAGAACCTACCTATCTCAGTCTTAAATGTACTCAATGACCTGGCCTCCACAGCCTTCTGTGGCAGTGAATTCCGTAAATTCGCCACTCTCTGGCTGAAGAAGTTTCCCCTTATCTCCGTTCTAAAAGGTCTTCTCTTTACTCTAAGGCTGTGCCCTCGGGTCCTAGTCTCTCCTACCAATGGAAGCATCTTCCCAACATCCACTCTGACCAGGTCATTCGGTATTCTGTAAGTTTCGATTAGATCCCCCCGTCATCTTTCTAAACCCAAATGAGTATAGTCTCAGAGTCCTCAAACATTCCTCAGATGTTAAGCTTTCCATTCCTGGGACCATTCTCGTGAACCTCCTCTAAACCTGCTCCAGGGCAGGTACATCCTTCCTGAGATATGGGGCCTGAGATATTAACTCTGATTTCTCTCCACAGTTACTGCCTGACCTGCTTAGCTTTTCCATCCATTTCTGTTGTTGTTTCTGATTTCCAGCATCTGCAGTACTTTCAGTTTTTATCAGGGAATACATTGCTACTTAAAAGTAGTACATGCAGATTGAGCTTAAGCGTTGAAAAGTGACTTGACAGGTTATAAGAATTTGAGGAAATGTGAACATAAAATTGGTGTTCTGAAACATGAAGGAAAGAAACTGAGCAATCTGGGCAGACTAGAATTGTCCGATGATCTCACCTGTTCAGAATTATAGAAACTTTCTTTTTGACTTTTTTTGAAGTACTAGCATAAAACCTGAAAATAGTTTTCTAAAAAAATTTTGATGGTACAGTGTAAACTAAATTTATAGTTTATAGATCCACGATGAACAACATTAACACACCTAGTGCACCTCACACTGAGAAGCTATTGCTATTTAAATTATTACTTGATTTAGGCACAGACACTTAATCAGATTCTGTATCTTTTACAGGAAACCTCAAGCCTTTGCTTCCGTTAAATGTTCAGAATCAAGTCAATGCACTGCTCCCATACCATAAATTTGACCTCAGCTATGACCTGAACTGTGACAAAATATGTGCAGATTTCCAAGAAAATGTTGAATTCCATTTTTCACTCGGTTGGACTTCACTGGTCAGTCGTTTCCTGGGACCCAAGACCGCCCGTAGAGCTCTACTGGGACTTAGTGACCCAACTTTTCAGGTACACTGTCTGGTTTGTATTGTATTGTAAAATATTTTCTGATAACTTTTCAGCTGGTGATTCAAAGGTTTAATTTTGTAAAAGTAATAGGTGTAATTTCATAAGTTATTTTAAAAAAAATTAATAATACTGTTGCATTTGGAAACCAGAGAAAATATTTTTGGAGGATGCGTAATCATTATACTTGGTTTTCATTTCCATTTTCCCTTGTTATTACAACTTTTTCCTTCGCTATGAACCAATTACATTCCAGGCAAATATGTATTCAACTATGCATTTTTGCACACCTAATTGCCCATTAGTAATTTACACTCCGGTTGTTTTAGGCCTTTGTACTTCAGTTCTAAATTTAACTATTCAGCTAAAATCAAGACAACACTAGCCAAGAAATTATAAGTTTTGTATCTAATGCATATCTCAGTAATGTGTCACTCCTCAAAGATGTCCTGGCTGAAAATATAATGCAGCTGTAGGAAATCAAATGTGATTGACTCAAACAAAAAGCCTGTTAATTTACTGATCAGATTCTTGAGAGTGAACAAAACAAAAAAAATCGCGAGACTGGTAGAAGAACTTAACAGTGAGGAATGAAACATCATAAAATACGTGAACAAATCATGTTTCAAGCTTTCCTAATTTTTTGATGACCACTGTTGCCTAACCCCACTGTCTGCATGCATCTAAAAACTGAAGTTTATGACAAAATTGAAATTGTGCAGGGGCTAAAGACTAAAGTTCTGTTCTTTCATATCTTTTAAGACTTGCTCTGACCACATATATCTCTGTACGATGTACTTACTCATTCCAAAGATCTGTACTCCTTAGTATTGATTTGAGGTCTTTGCATATGTGGATGTTGATGTCCTGGCTGTGACTGCTCCTTCCTTAAAAGTTTACATTGATTAGATTTTGTTGCATTTTTAAGAATTCACATTTTCAGTAATCTGTCCTGGAGTCTTGTCAAGAATATTTTAAACGATGGAATCAATGCAATGTTTTCCCTTAGATTTTTACATGGTAGTTGTTTTATTGAAAACACATTTGAGTGATGTTTTAGCAGTATTACAGAAAAAGGTAAAGAAACATAATACACCCAACTATCAATGTGAGTCCGGAACTGCATTCAATATAGGGTTAATAGGGCAGACACCACAACTTTAGCAGTGGAATAATTCTTAAATTATGACTTTCTAAAACAGCAGATCTTCTAGTAACATAAGTGTACGTCTGTTTTGTATTTTCAGTATCACACAGTAAAGTATTCAAACACACACTCTTATATGGATAGCGTAACATACTACAATTGACACAGGAGCCAGAATGTCCAAGGGCCCTGATTGCTCAATCATGAATAAAAGAAAGCATAGGAACTAAATATCCAAGGATATACATTCTATTTAAGAGATAGGCAGGTGGGCCGAGGGGGTGGGGTTGCCTTATTAGTGAGAAATGAAATTAAATCAATAGGAAGAAACAAAGTAGGGTCAGATGGGTAGAATTGATGAACCGCAAGGGTAAAAAAAAAAACCATAGTTGGGGTTATGTACAGGCCTGCAAACAGTAGTCAGGAGCTGGGGCGCAAGATATACCAGGAGATAGAAAAGGAGTGTGAGAAAGGCAAAGTCACAGTGATCGTGGGGGATTTCAATATGCAGGTGGACTGGGAAAATCATGTTGGTAGTGGATTGCAAGAAAAGCAGTTCGTGGAATGTCTACGAGATGGCTTTTTGGAGCAGCTCGTGGTGGAGCCCAGAAGGGAACAGGCAATACTGGATTTGGTGTTGTGCAATGAGGCAGACTTGATAACGGAGCTTAAGGTAAAGGAACCCTTAAGAGGCAGTGATCATAAGATGATAGAATTCCCTCTGCAATTTGAGAGGGAGAAGATAGAATCAGAGGTAACAGTATTACAGCTGAATAAAGGTGACCACAGAGGTATGAAGGAGGAGCTGGGCAGAATTGACTGGAAGAGGACCCTAGCAGGGAAGACAGTGGAACAGCAATGGCAGGAGTTTCTGGGAGTAATTCAGGAGACGCAGCAAAACTTCATCCCTAGGAAAAAGAAGCATGGTACAGGGAGGATGAGGCAACCATGGCTGACTAAGGAAGTTAGGGATAGCATAAAAGCAAAAGAGAAAGCATATAATGTGGCGAAGGGCAGTGGGAAACCAGAGGACTGGGAAGCTTAGAAATACCAACAGAGGACAACAAAAAAAGAAATAAGGACGGAGAAGATTAAATATGAGGCTAAGCTAGCCAGTAATATAAATGAAGACTGTAAGAGTTTCTTAAGATATATAAATGACAAAAGAGAGGCAAAAGTGGACATTGGACCACTGGAAAATGACAGTGCAGAGATAGTAGTGGGGAACAAGGAAATGGCTGAGGAACCGAATAATTACTTTGCATCAGTCTTCACAGTGGAAGACACGAGTAATATCACAAAAATTCAAGAGAGTCAGGGGGCAGAGCTGAGTATGGTGGCCATCACCAAGGAAAAGGTGCTAGTAAAACTGATTGACCTGAAGGTGGATAAATCACCTGGATCAGATGGACTACATCCCAGAGTTCTAAAGAAAATAGCTGAAGAGATAGTGGAAGCGTTTAGTGGTGATCTTTCAGGAATCACTAGAGTCAGGGAGGGTCCCAGAGGACTGGAAAATCGCTAACGTGACATCCCTGCTTAAAAAGGGAGTAAGGCAAAAGACGGAAAATTACAGGCCAATTAGCCTAACCTCAGTCGTGGGCAAGATTTTGGAGTCCATTATAAAGGATGAGATTTCTGAATATTTGGAAGTGTATAGTGAAATAGGGCAAAGTCAGCATGGTTTCATCAAGGGGAGGTCGTGCCTGACAAATCTGCGAGAATTCTTTGAGGAAGTAATGAGCAGGGTAGACCAAGGAGAGCCAATGGATGTTATCTGCCTGGACTTCAAGAAGGCCTTTTGATAAGGTGCCACACAGGAGGATGCTAAGTAAGATAAGGGCCCATGGTAGGTGGAGAGACAGGTAGTATTGAGGAGGTGGCGAGGCTGCAGAAGGACTTGGACAGGTTAGGACAGTGGGCAAAAAAGTGGCAGATGGAGTACAACGTGGGAAAGTGTGAGGCCATGCACTTTGGTAAGAAGAACAAAAGCATGGACTATTTTCTAAATGAGGAGAAAATTCAGAAGTCTGAAGTGCAAAGAGATTTGGGAGTTCTAGTCCAGGATTCTCTCAAGGTAAACTTGCAGGTTGAGTCAGTAGTCAGGAAGGCAAATGCAATGTTGGCATTTATTTTGAAAGGACTTGAATATAAAAGCAGGGATGTACTACTGAGGCTTTTTAAGATGCTGGTCAGGCCACGTTTGGAGTATTGCGTGCAGTTTTAGGCCTCGTATCTTGGGAAGGATATACTGGCCCTGGAGCGGGTTCAGAGGAGGTTCACGAGAATGGTCCCAGGAATGAAAAGCTTACCATATGAGGAACATTTTGAGGACTCTGGGACTATACTCATTAGAGTTTAGAAGGATGAGGGGGGATCTAATTGAAACTTTCAAAATACTGAACGGCCTGGACAAAGTGGATGTTGGGAAGATGCTTCCATTCGTAGGAGAGTCTAGGACCCAAGGGCACAGCCTTAGAGTAAAGGGGAGACCTTTTAGAACGGAGATAAGGAGAAACTTCTTCAGCCAGAGAGTGGTGAATTATGGAATACACTGCCACAGAATGCTGTGGAGGCCAGGTCATTGAGTACATTTAAGACTGAGATAGATAGGTTCTTGATTATCCGGGGATCAAGGGTTACGGGGAGAAAGCGGAAGAATGGGGTTGAGGAACTTACCAGCCATGATTGAATGGCGGAGCAGACTCGATGGGCTGAATGGCCTAATTTCTGCTCCTATGTTTTATGGTCTTATGGTCTTTAGGTTTATGATTTTCCACACAAACAACAACTAAAGTCTGGTCCACTCGGTGTTCATTTAACAGTATTTAGACTTAGTGTTGCTAAAGGGCTGCAGTTTGCAAACCCAAATTGAGATGAGACCCCAATCCATCCTTCTATCCAATCTACCCTGCCCAATTAACCAGGTTTACATTCAGTTCAATCCATGGTTTTTCTCTCCCCTTTGTGATTCAAATCAAGCCACTGAAATATGGTCTATAAATTTCAAATCTAGTTCCATTGTCTTTTCCGAACTGAACACTGCAGGAAGCCTGTATTCTCTAATGTATGAAGTTATCATGCACTTGTGAGTAAAACAAGAGATGCAAATTTCTTGACACTTCAGCGCATTAATGCTTCTTGACTGATACGAAAATTCCAAGACAGCCATATCAGGTCAGCAGTGTCCTTTTTTAAATACCATTTCTTAGTTCATCAAAGTCTCTGGTATTAAAGTCAAATGATGAAAGTTGAATACTGATGGTCAATTTTCACCACTTATCAGATGCTTCTATGGAGTGGAAATTCTGTGATACTATTTTTTGTTTGTGGATCAGCTGTGATCCCAGTAGTTTTGGATAATGTGCCCAAGAAATTTGATGTTTGGTTTTACAAGTAGACACTTCTGATTCTGTATTACACCTGTATTCCATGGATTTCTTCACTGTTTTCACTCCCTGGTCATGTTCTTCTTTTGTGGATCCATTAATTAATGTCATTCATGTGGCACGTTACACAGTCAATGCTTTCCAATGTCTTGTATTTGTTTTATTGACTCATGGGACATGGCTGTCACTGGCTGGCCAGCAATTATTGCCTTTCCCTGGTTGCTCTTCAGAAGTTGGTGGTGAGCTGTCTTCTTGAACTGCTGCAATCCATTATAGGTAGACCCACAATGCCTTGAGGGAGGGAATTCCAGGATTTTGACACTGCAACATTGAAGGAGCCGTGAAATATTTCCAAGTCAGGATGGTGAGTGGCTTGGAGGGAAACTTGTAGTTGGTGGTGTTCTCATGTATCTCTCTTGTTCCAGATGTGGTCATCATGAACCACAGTTGGGTCCAGCGTCTCACACAACATGCAGTTACGACACATGGCCTAGTCTCTATTTTAATTACTTAGTTCTTAATTTGATTTTTAAAAATGTCATGCTGGTCTTTTAGTTTGTAACCTGTAAATGTTTGCCCTATTTATCTTCAATTGGAAAGTAACCTGCAATAGACAATCAAATTAGTAGCTATCACCAACCAATGAACCTGCAGTTTAAATGTGATGTCGCTCTTCTCTGCTGTGCCCCTGATTTTGTGCTTCAGTTTATCCTGTTTTAAGAAAGCACCTTGCAATCTATGAGCCAAGAAAGGAAGCAAAAAGCAACCCCTCCCCTCTGTACCAAAGTCCCACAATTTCTCCAAAATCTCTGAACTACATGCTTGCTCAGGCTGTCTCTCACTCTGGATGTGATCCCTCCTTTCTGACTGTGAATTGAATTAGCTTTATTGTTACATGTACTCAAATGAGTACAGTGAAAAATTTACAAGTCGCCACTGACCACTGGTTGCCATCACTCTCTGCACTGGGCTGCTGCGCCACGCTCCGTACTGGGCCACCACAGTCCCCGCTTTGGGCCGCTGGTAGCTGGCATCCCCGCTGATCCCACTTTGGAGGCCGGAGCCAGGTGTTCAAAGCTGAGCAAAGGGAAGAGAGAGGGAGAAATAAAAAGAAAAAGGAAGAAAAAGAACGGGTAGAGCAGAGGAGCTTCCGCTGGAGTGTCCTACTTTGCCACTATCTTACCGGACTGTGCAAAGGTTACTGATCTAAATAGTGAACCAGTTAGGTTTTTGTTTTACAATTATTGACATTGGTTATACTTAGACTACCTTTTTAATTCAAGACTTTTCTTGAATTCAGATTTCACAATCTATGATGGTGAGATTAGAACCCATGTCCCTAGCATATTAGCCTGGGTTCTGGATTGCTAGTCCAGGGACTTGTAGGTGGTGGACAGGCATTTGAGAGTCATGAGGTGAGTTATTCGCTGCAACATACATGGAATCATAGAATTCCTACAGCGTGGAAGCAGGCTATTTGGCCCATCAAGTCTACACCAACCTTGTGAAGAGCATCCCACCCAGACCCACCCTTCCTCGTAACTCTGCAATTTCCACAGCTAATCCGTCTAACCTGCATAATCCTGAATGAGCAGTTTAGCAAGGCCAATCCACCTATCTTGGATATCTTTAGACTGTGGGAGGAAATCCACGCAGACACGGTGAGGACAGGCAAACGACACACAGACAATTGCCTGAGACTGGAATTGAACCCAGGTCCCTAATGCTGTGAGGCAGTAGTGCTAACCACTGAGCCACCGTGGTGCCAGCTCGCCACTGGCCTGCTGTTATAGCCAGTGTTTATGTGGCAAGTTCAGCTGAGTTACTGGTCAATGGTATTTCCTAAGATGATGTTAGTGGAGGATTCAGTGATGGTAATACCATTGAATGTCATGGGATGATGGCTAGATGTTACTTGCCACTTGTTAGCCCAAGCCTGTATATTGTTTGGGTTTTGTTGCATTTGAACATGGAGTGCTTCAGTATCTAAGGAATTGTGAATGATGCTGATAATTTGTGCAATCATCAATGAACATTTGCACTTCTGGCCTTATGATGAGGAAAGGTCATTGATGAAACAGCCAAAGATGGTTGGGCCTAAGACACTACCCTGAGGAGATGTCCTACAGCTGATATAACTTCCAACAACTATAACCATCTGCCTATGTGCCAGGTATGACTTCAAGCAGAGAGTTTACCCATAATTCCCATTGATTCTAGTTTTAATAGGGCTGCCTGCGCTACACTTGGTCAAATATGGCCTTGATGTCAAGGGATGTCACTCTAACATCACTTCTGGAATTCAGCTGTTTTGTCCATGTTTGAACCAAAGCTATAATGAAGTCAAGAGCTGAGTGGCCGTGGCAGAACCCAAACCGAGCATCTGGTGGTAGTTGATTGCTGAACAGGTGTTGCTTTATAGAACTGTGGATGATACTTCCTATCACTTTACTGATGATCAAGAGTAGACTAATGGGGTGATAATTGGCCATGTTGAATTTGTTTTGCTTTGTGTGTATTTCTGAGCAATTTTAACTATTCTGATTTTCTAAGTTTCCACATTGTCAGCGAGATGCCATTGTTGTAGCTGTATTAGAACACCTTGGCTTCAGATGCGGCAAGTTCTGAAGACTTGTGCTCCAGTACTATTGCCAGAATGTTGTCAGGGGCCTGTAGCCTTGAATGTTCTCTGAAATTTCTGGAGCAGACTTGATTCTAAAAGATAATCTGTTAAAAAGGTTGACAGTGCACAAAAAATGTAACAAGTGTAGTTATAGTAGGAACTGCCGATGCTGGAGACTGAGATAACAAGGTGTAGAGCTGGATGAACACAGCAGGCCAAGCAGCATCAGAGGAGCAGGAAAGCTGACGTTTCGGGTCTGGACCCTTCTTCAGAAAATGTT